CGGGCATCCAAGCCCCGAACAAAGACAAGTAGGGTAGAACAATAGAACAGTGACAAGTAGGGAAGAACAATAGAACAGTGACAAGTAGGGTAGAACAATAGAACAGTGACAAGTAGGGTAGAACAATAGAACACTGACAAGTAGGGTAGAACAATAGAACAGTGACAAGTAGGGAAGAACAGTAGAACAATGACAAGTAGGGTAGAACAAGAGAACAGTGACAAGTAGGGTAGAACAATAGAACAGTGACAAGTAGGGTAGAACAATCTCCCAAAGACAAGTAGGGTAGCCTAACCAACAGACGGCAAACACCCTTCCCCCACTTTTATCTCAACCAAAACTTCCATGTATACATTATCTACTTTGAGTAGCCCAAACTTCCATGTATACATTAGTGTATACATTATCTACCTTAAGTAGCCCAAACTTCTGTGTATACATTATCTACTTTGAGTAGCTGCTGGATCCCTTTCATCTGCCGCGGCTTACGTCAAGACTTCTCGTACAAGAGCAAGCTGGGAGCAGTTGTGTCAGGTTTTGTCTCTCAGTGAGACAGTTGGGTCTTAAGACGGCTGGAGCCGGGATTGGCTAAACAGTGCTTTCACCAGCTGAAGCTGAAAAGTAAAGAAAATTCGGCCAGGGGTCTGGGGGCTGCATAGGCCCCCAGCAGGGTCCAGGGACAGCATCCCGGTGGGGGTTAGGGGGCTAAACCCCCTTAGAAATTGAAATTTAGTACTTTTATAGGGTCGAAAATGGCATTTGGGAGCCTGTTTGAAGAGATTGCCTGCAAACCATAACATTTATTTTTTCACCAACATTTGTCTTGTTTGATTTCTTCACCAAGATCTAAAATCCAGATCTACATAATATATTTCCATTGATGGCAATGTTTAACAGCAGGTTCCCCTTCCATTGCTACTATAATTCTCCTATGAGGCTATGCGTACGGGAGGGCTGTACGTATAGCCACAGGCTTCAATTAATTTGTTATCGCACCATTGATAGCAGGCAAACCTGGGAATAATGAATAGATATGTACCTTCACAATACAGTTACCCGGTGTATACCCTAATTTTTCTTAAATTTCACGCCTGTATATCGCATGTCACAACCTCGGACCACCACTTCGAATTATTCTTGACTTTAGTAGTTTTAGGCAGGTGTTAGCATAAAAATTTCTTTCACTGCAGCCCCCTGCCGCAGAATCTTCGTATTGGTCATTTCTCTAGATCTAGACAAATTTGTAAAACAATTTCTTTCCGACAGTTATTTTCTGTCTAAGATCACATGTCAATATACTTGATCAACCCGCAGATTTTCCATTCGCGGCAACAATCCCAAGATAGACGGAAGGAAAGAGTGAATGATAGAAAGGAGGAAGCTGGCACAAAAAGTTCGCCAGATTTTGATCAATCCACAGGTAAAAATGTACTGTTGACAAGCCTGCAATGAATGCATGGGGCACAGCGGAATAATGGCCGATCGCAGGAAATGCGCAATCTGGCAGGTTTCTATAACATTAACTTATTGCCAAGAGAATTACCGTAAATATCCGTAACTTATACTAGTACTGGATGATACGAAGGCGAGTACGGATCTTTTGCTACGGAATTTCGGTGGTCCTACACCATCGCAGATTTTTACGGAGTGAGTTGACAGTGATGGAGGAACAAGTACGGAACTGACAGAAAGTACGTATTTCCATAAAAATACGGAAGAGTGGAAGCACTGGGTAAAACAGACAAGTTTGAGCGCACACACACACACACACAGAGAGAGAGAGAGAGAGGGAGAGAGAGAGAGGGAGAGAGA